GAGCGCATCGTTCTTCCATGATTAGGTCTTCACTAGTAAATGTAGGTGGGGATTCCTCCACTAGGATGGCCTGAAACACTTGAGTTAAGCCAAGAACTGTTTACTGCTCGCTTAATTTTGGGAATTGTGTGAAAAAATCTTTATTTTTCAGAAGCAAGTTTGATTTGAATGTGAAGATTGGTGCCAAAATGCATCTGTTAGCAGCTTTTAATCTTCACGTTTGACAAAGCGCATAGACATGAACAAATTGTAATTTACATGATGAAACCGCGCGGTGATGGATTGTGGAACACCACAGCAAGGAAATAAATTTCACAAGATAAAAGGCAGGGGGTTGGAGTGCATTTACTTCTATTATAAGCTTTTACAGGGTATGTGCACTACAATGTCCTGCTACCTGGGCTCAAATCTACTAGAGTAAATCCTCTTCAGCAAATAAAGCTTTCTCTGGGACTCCGCTTTATTGGGAAGGAGATTATTTGGTTTTGAGGGTCATTCTAGAGTAGGATTTGAATGAACTTGAGTTGCTTTCCAAGATAAACACAACCCCAGAACAAAGCATATCTGGGTTTACGGTTACACGCGATGGTGTTTTAAGAGCTTGCACCTGGCATGGCAGAGGGAACATTAAAAGCCTGTGAAGAATTGCCAGGGCAACATATGGCACAGCCTGGTGACAAATCCAGAGCTGGGTCTGGCCTGGGTAGTGGCCCCGTGCCAGGGGTTAAGGTTCCCGTTGCAGTGACATGCAGCAGTTACGCATTTATCACTGCTATAACAAGGGGTAATTGCTCATCATTTGTCCTGAAACTCTTACAGGTGGTCTCTACTCCTGCTTTCCTGTTGTTTTCAGAAACCATAAGATGCCAGAGTGGGACTGATGGATTTCTCCCATGCCTTCCTCTGTAGTAATTGCTGCACCTTGCTGGCTCGTGGCATCCTTCCCTGGTCACAGTTCTTCAGGGGGTGTTTGCAGAAGCAGCTCTGATCTTTGGCAGGGCAGTCGCCCCGTTGAGCTCGGTCCTCTCTTCCGCTCTGTGCAGGGCTCAAAGCTGCCAGCCGATGTGGGCAAGGAAGCCAAACCCCTCTTGCTTTTAAAAGCATCCCAGGCCTTTGTTTGAAGGATGCACGTGGCATCTAATCCCAGCGCCCAGGCAGTGTCTGCAGTGACCGGGCTGCTCTGCAGTGGAACGTCGCGAAGCGGCTTCGGTTTTCAGCACATCTGCTAGAACTCATAGAGATCAACACGATGAAATATCAAAGCGGGGTGTCGGATATTGCAGCCACGCGGCACTTGCGGGGTGAAGGGAGAACCTAAGATGGGAAGGCACCTCCTGCGTCACTGATGGGCTGGGGATTTTTCTCCACACTGTCATGCAAACAGCAGCTTTCCAGGGTAGGTTCAATAAAGCCTGCTGCCCGCCCCCCATCCTGCTTAAAATTCCTGTAGGTTGGTGCTGGAACCTTTTCCTAAGTCTGTTTGTGGCTGGTTTCTGGTGTTTTCCGTCCCAGGTTGTTGCAGACAGTGACCTGCTGTCTCTCGGATAAGCAGCCTCGTTGCTGCGGGTGTCCCGTGCGAGGAAGGAGCTCCGCTCCGGAGCGCCGGGCGCGCAGCAGCCCCTTCCCGGCCGTGTGCCGGCGCTCCCGGGACGGGATGTGGCGGGATTGCCCTGGGATCGTGAGCGGGATCCGCTGCCAAGCTGCAGCGCGCAGCGCGGAGGTCCTGGCACCCACCGCCACGTCCCACGGGAAGGGATTGTTGGAGAAAGGACTGAGCTGGGGGCTCCTGCGGAGCTCTGTCTCTGGCTGCGAGATGTTGGTTAGTTCCTCCTTTCCCCCTTCCCAACATTTTTTTTTGTTACGCAAGGGCCGGACCATCTGGATGGCAGATGATACCTTTGTGTCTGTCTGTTTTCAGTTTTCCTCCTATAAATCATCTGATGTAGCTGCTTTCTCCTGCTCGAGCTCTTCCCAGGATTTGAACCACTTTTGCGTTAAAGCCGAGCTTTCTGCTGGGGCTCCCGCTCCTGCTGCGCATCCCAAATAGACACGCTCCAAAGTATCCAAGATTCCCCAGCACCGAGAGCGCTTCCCCACGCTGAGCCCCCATCTCTCGCTCAGCCAAGTGGGCTCTGTCTCGCTTGTTTTTCTCCTCTAAATCTGAGCAGAAAGTCACGTTTGTTTTGTTCATTAAGGTTCTGCTTAGTTTGCCCCGCGGTTTTGTAAAGGGCCGCTCTCATAAGCGGGAGTTTCGCGATGCCGAGGCCACGGGTGCCGTTGAAGGCCTCCTCCCCATCCGCCCCGTTGCACAGTGCCCGTTCCTGGAGTCCTCCCGTCTCCCCGGAGCTGTCACAGTGCGGCTGTTTGGGGACACCGTTCCGCCCTGGGGTGACGGTTGTGCCCGTGGACGCTCGGGGCCAGGGCTGTGCGCTCCCATTGAGGAGCTGGTTGTGGGGGTAAGTTTGTTTTAAATCTGCTGCCTGCTAGTTTCATGCGCTACCGCCTCCTTTTTTTTATTTTTTTCCTCTCTCTCCAGGCAGAGAGGTGATGAATAGCTGTTCACACTCGTTTTCGGGACTTGGCAGAAGTCGGGCCCGCAGCTTCAGGCCTTAAGAGTGGTAGCAGAGCTCACGCGCAGGGATTTCTCTCCATTCGCTCTTTCCTCCTGTCTGCCGTGGCCTGTTCCCAGACCTCCAGCAGGCGGGATGCTCCATTTCTATCCAATAACCCCTCTTCCCTGGTGTGATGTGTGATTCCTTCCTTCAGAGCCATCTTGGATCGTAGCCTATGGACACTGCTCTCTGCAAGAGCATCTCGAGATGCTGAAGCCCTAGAGACTGTTCCTATTTCAAGAGTGTATTTCTGATCCCATCTTTCTAGTCTACTTCTGTATATCATTAGGTAACACTTAAATTTGCTCTTGAGGGAGTTTCTCCGTTTAGCACATAACTTGGACCTACCATGTGGTGATCATTAATCGATGGCCCTAGCATTAACGCTCTTTGGTGACTGTGTGGGAATCATTTCACTGAGTGCTCTGAAGCTTGGCCAGCGAGTGAATCCGATGTGAATGACCATGAGTCACTCCTGCAAACCGCCCTGCGGAGGTGGGCGCAGGGGGTGACTCTCCTGCCGCGGAACCGCCGCGGTCCATCCCGGGTTGTCTGCAGAGCTTTGTCCCGGGATGCCGGAGCCGCCGCCGCCTTCCATCGCAGCTCCCTCCGGGGGAAAGGACTCGTGTTACGTGGTGTGATGGGCACGGAGTGTAAATGAACCTGGGCGTCTGTCATGTAAATGGGGGTTTGAATGCGAGATAAAGGAGCCGGGCTCTCCGGGGAGACCCCGCTGAGCGATTGTCGGGAAGAGCCGAGCGGGATCTCCGAGGAGGGGGCAGCTGCCTCCCCGGGCCCTTCCTCACGGGTTTGTTAAGGGGGTATCGGCAGCAGCAGATTTCTGCTGTTTTCTTCAAAAATAAACAAGCAAATATCCTGGCACCTTCCATGTTTGCAGCGGGGCAGAGGTAACGTGGGCTGCTGCACTGCCCTGTCGGCATGGTTGCCTCTCGCTTCCTTCCCTGCCTCGTGCAGGCCAGGGGCACCTGGGGGTGTCTGCCCCGAGGGCCTCTCCGTGGCCCAAAGGGTGGTCCATAATGTCCATCAGCTTCTCCGTGTGTAGCGTGGCAGCCCAGGCTGTATTGTGGGGACATGTGGCCAGCATGGACCCCTTGTGTGGCAGGTACCCCCAAAAAGAAGGACTAAAGCATCTCACCTGCTCCCTGGCACCACATACCGGCAGAGCCACTGTGATCGAGTGGGTTTTTTCACTAATTTTCTTTTCTTTTTCTCTTCTAAAGGTGAACCCAACACCGCAGGGTACACGAGCACTGCTCAAAATGATGTACTGCCCGCACTGCCGGGGCCTGGTGTCCGTGAAGCCGTGCTACAATTACTGCTTTAACGTCATGAGAGGCTGCTTGGCCAACCAAGGAGACTTGGATGCGGAATGGAATATCTTTATGGGTAAGGCAATACAGCTTACAACTATGGATGTGAGTGTAATATGAGCGTTAAACCAAAACAGGGGTTGAAGCATCACGGGTTGAAACCATTCATGTTGAGTACGTGCTGAGTGTTGCTTATTGGAATGGTATTTGTGAGCGGCCGCGTGCTAGATTTTTAAGGTATAATATGCATCTTTCACTTCTGTGTCTCCGTACATGGCAAAGCCTTTGCAGTTCACAGCATTCCCTAAGTAAACGAGGCTTTCGCAGTGCTAGCGACCGCTGCCGCAGCAAGTCCTAGGGGTGAAGCTGCCGTGTGCTCCTGGGCCTGGAGCAGCTCTACAGGCTGGAGCTGCTCCAGCTCCGCGCGTCCTGCTGCTCCCGCCGGCCTGCGTTCATAGGCAGCGAGCCGGGGTTCAGCACGGCGTCTGGGAACGTGAGGGCCAAATACCCATTAGAAACAGGCAAAGCGAGCCCCGTTTTGGAGGGAGGACCCGCTGCCTCTTAAGCCACGCACCCTGATGTATGTGCCGCTTCCTAATTTCCATGCTACCCCTTATCCGTTGTTTTTCCCATGCTGCTAGCTTTCCTAACTCGCAGTCGCAGTGTCCCGCAGTCAGAGTGTCTCTGTCAGGCGCAGGGAGCTTGGGGAAGAGCTGCGGGCCTGTATTTTACATTAAAAAAAAAAGAATGGAACATGTGTCTAATTTTTCAAAGAGCTCATTTGGAGCTCAGCCACCATCCTTTTGAAATGTTGATAGGCCTTGTGTGATGCTGTGCTAATATTTTTGCTATTGTCTTCCTGCTCGCTCCGTCTCTTCCATGCTTATGAATCTGTATTATTTGGTGTATGAAAATTACACTGCAGTGTTAAATTCTATGTTGGGCCAAGACACTGCAGGGCTTGGTGCCTCGGGTTTTGGGAGTGGGAGCAGTCAGTAAAGTTGAAAGTTTTTATTTGTGCAGACTGCTTTGGTTAATTAACCGAGAAGCCTTGATTAATCTGTGGAAGAGCATCCTTTGGGAGCAGTCTCCTCACTCCAGTTACTGGATGATGAAGTGCACATCTAAATTTTCTGCAAGGCTGTGGGACTCTTCCAATACAACTACTGGAAAAAAATAGACTGTTAGGAAAGTAAAGTTTTCTCATTCATTAAACAGTGGGATTAAAAAAAAATTGCTGATAATTGGCATTTCAGACTAGATTTAAATCTCAGAATGTGTTTTCCCATGTTTTGTCCACTGGCTTTTCACTTAACTGCCTGTGCCAACTGGATGTGTGCATGGTATTATTTTCAGAAGGCTTTTTCTTGCCTGTGCATTCCATATAGGGAGTTAAATGTGACACTAAATTGGGTTTCCAAGTCATTCTCCGGGAGGCTGACACGTCCCCCCTCCTCCTCCATTCCTCCCAGCCCTCTTTCTCATGAGAATATTAAGTATTTCAGCTACAATTGTTGCTGAAATAGCTCAAAGCCAGGAGACTTGCAAACATCTAGTCCAAGTAGAAAAGAGGAATCCCATGAAAGGGAAGGGCATAATGCCAGAAAACAGACAAAAGCACAAGCAGCTAATTGCTGTAGGTGGTATGCGGCTAGGAACGAAGCGCGGGGAAGGCAGCGAGCCCTGTCACACAAGGCTGAGCAGGGGCTGCCTGCAATAACTGAGGTTATGAAACAAGGCAAAATAAATAAATGCGGCTCCAGGTTGGAAGAAAAGCTTTTTCCTGGCAGTGCTTCCTTGCACAGAGGCTTCTTGACTCCACTTCGATATAGGATTAAGTTTTGCTGCGTTTACTGGCAGTGCTTGCTGGTTTCTCGTGCTCAGCAGTGATTCTTGCCGTGTCTTAGTGTGTGTTTAATCATGGAAGAGGTACTAGTTATGTTGCAAACTTGGCTTTTCGTCTGAATTTGGCACTTGATGCAAACAGAATTAAACAGATCTAGTGTTTGCAGGGGAGTCATGTGTGACGAATGGCTTGTGCGTATGTATTTTTAAAAACAAAACAAAAACACTAAAAAAAAAAAAAGCCACCTGGACGCTCTCATGGTTGATGCTATTTTGCATTGCAGGTTTAAATACTGACTTACAATGATGTTATATTGTGTACCAAAAGTAGGTCTTGAAAATTGCGAAATAACTTAGTTAAATGAGCAGCTTGCAATAAATAGTTCAAGTATAAATTATTCCAGGTACATGGGAATATACATGCCCACGTGTATATAAGCATGCTTGTGTTTTAAACATGTCAGAATTTGTAAAATCATTTCTCACTGTGCTGTGACAAAAGTTTTGCTCTTTGCCCTTCCTTTCCTCTCTCTAACTTGGTTTATCTCAGTATTGATTGCCTGCTTTGGCCCAGATAGACAAGTAGCTCTGATTAAAGTTAGTGAGACTTCCGTGAGCTTATACACAAGTCGCCTGTCGCTTTTCTGAGATTTTTTTAGAATTAAAATCTTCATTCTTGCATACTTCTTGCATATTTAAAGCTGCAGCATATGGAATAATGTCTAAATTGCAATCTTTTCTCCCATTTAACTACCTTTAAGTGATTTTGCCATCTATTCTGGCCACAATTGTATCCCAATTAGACAGGGCTCCACTTTGTTCAAGCCAGCTCTTGGCGTGGGGAGGTTTCCTGAATGAGCAGTGGTAATCTCCAATGCCTTTTCATGATTTTTATTTTTTTCCCTCCACAAAGGTTTGCTCTGCTCAAAGATGTAGAATTCAGGCTCCGTAGACATATCTGGAGTCCGACTTTGTGTACAAGGAATTTTTTTTTTTTTATTGATTGTTGTTAATGAATGGTCAAGGTCTTCCCCCTCCTCCCCTCCTCTTTTAGAGCAGATCTGGGGGTTAAGGCTGAAAACTGCCTTTTGTTCCGTGAGTCAGACGGTGCGGCTGGGGCTGGGGGTTTCTGCTTGTTGGTGGCACAATGCGAGGGAACCGCGTTCCTTCGGGCCAGCGAGGGACTTTGTGCTGCCGATTGTCTCAATGCCAGCAACAGGGACAAACCTCTGCGGGAGGAAAAGGCTCCTTAAGGGATGGTGGATGGCGCTGCACACAGGAGCTGCACTTTCCCCTTCCCAATTCCAGAAGACGACAGTCTTTTCCATGTGCCAGGCTAGTGATGAACGGCTACATTGCATTTCCCACCCCACGTTATTAGGAAGGAGACGGATCTCCTGCAGCGCCTTGTAAACGTTGGATCTATTTGAACCGAAGCTGGGGACAGGGGAGAGGAGCAGGGCAAACCTGGGGGGACGAGTTGCCCCTGCTCAACCTGTGGCTTTGCTGCCCTTGCCCCCCTCGTTCCCGGTATCCGCAGCCCTCGCCGGGTGTCACACGGTGCTGGCACAGGGGACGTGCTCCGGCTGTGGCTGCTGCTGGGGACACCAGCCAGCGCCTGGTGGGAGGTAAAAACCTGCAGGACATCCCCAAATCAAAACCCGTGGAGCTGCGTAGAGAGTCTCCTCCCCCCTCCTTTTATTTCATTTTTTTTTCCCTTTTTCATGGAAGTTTATTCCATTTAGTGCTTCTTGGTGGTATCTATCGCTGCTCCTGAAGAGCTACAGTTGAATATATTCTCCAAGGCCAATTATTGCTTCCCTTATCTTTTCTAGCCAGCTTTGGCAGCGCTGCTGGAGGCCGAATGCATTTTCTATATCAGCAGTCAAAGCGGCGGCCGCATTCCTCAGCGGCGATGCACGTAACGCCATGGCACCGCCGCTGACAAAGGACCCAATTCGCGCGACATTCCCATGGTCTTGTGGATGGCCTGCCCGGCGCTAAGTTTACAAAGCCGCCAAACAGCCAGAAGAATTGGGGTTTATGTTTCCTTTCAGTCTTTCACAAACACTTTATTGATCTGCAGCCCTTCCTGGCCGCTCGGAGAATGGAGTAGTTACAGAATTGAATTATTTTTTTCCCCAATTTTTATTTATTTATTTGTTATTTGTTTTGATTTTAACTGCATTTTGTGTGTTTTTATGCTCTGTCCATAATATTTTCATTTGAAACGCGAGTGGCTCCCTGCGAGCTGCGCCGGGATGTCCTTTATGCGCGTGAAACCCCCTCCCCAAGAGCAATGACAATGATGAACACATTTAAGTTGTGCTCCACTTGTTTACAAAAAGTCTCCATTTGGTGGCACATCAAACGCATTTTTCTCTCCTCTGGCACAATGGTATATTCACACGAGCAGTCATTACTCAGAGATTTGAAGCATCACTTTATTGGAGCCCACCACAATACAGTCTAAGACTCTTTGTTTCACTTGTTATTACTTTTTTGGGGTGTTTTTTTTGGATGCATTAGTTCAGACCTGTTCGTAGGCCCTGACAGCTAAATTCCCGCTCCGTCACTGCCGCTCGCGTGTTTCCGTGGGTGTTTCCTGCGGATCAGGCTCCGCAGTGAGGATGCTCATGGTCCCGACATGGTCCCCGTGTCCCTGCAGCTCCTCCAAAGTCACTTTTAAGACGCGCCGCCTCTAACCCAGTCTTGGAAACCTTTAATGTGTTGACTTGTCATCAGGAAGCGGGCTTGCATGCTCCAGGAACACATGCATATATATAGATAGATAGATATACATATATATGCATATATATACATTTAATATACAAGTAGCATGATTGTAACTTTAGCTCTTTTTTTAGTGCAGTTTAAAATGACTTAGGCATTAAGGCAAAGCTATTAAAAATCATTTAATCTGTGGAATATCTTTGTAGGGCTTTAACTGGTTGATGTAAACTCACGGAAGATTTTTGCTGTTTGGAAGTACCTCCTACACTTAGGAGGAGGATGAATGTCATGAGAAACACTTTTCAGGAGAAATTAATAGACTGAATGTGGAACGCCCTTCTCTTCCTAATGGAAGGGAACAGGCGTATCCTTGGAAGTGGGAGGAACTCCTCTGGAGAGGGTTTCCTCGGGGCCTGTAGGGCGTCCTATGATCTGGCCTTCTGCATTGCGTGAGCCAGGAAAATGTGAGGAATGAAACGCCAGCGGAAAGCCATAAATTTGTGGCACAGCTGCCCAAAGTGGCACGGGAGAGCAAAACAGAAAGCAGAATGCCCGAGGGACTGCAGGGAAATTGGCGTCAAATGAAGGTTGTGATGGATGGGAAGAGGTGGCTGTTCAGCACGGGCGGCCTTGCCTGGGCGAAGCTTTTGGGGGAGAATCGAAGCGAAAACTTAAATGCAGCACAGGGCGAAAACTTAAATGCCAGGAAGAGGCTTCCAGAGGCAGCAGTTTCGTAGCTGGTCGATTCAATGATGCATTTGTGCTAGCAGCTGGAGGGCTGATCCAGCGTTGCCCACGGGACTTCTCCATCTCCCCTTTCATAGAGATGTGGCCAACACATCATTAGTGCCCGGCGCTAACCCTGGGCTCTCGGGCAGTTTCCTTGTTGCAGATAGTCCATGTCATGTCAGAAGGCAGAGCCCTGGACTTCTCCAGCTCACCAAGGGCTGCAGCTTTGGGTTCTAGAAGGGTTCTAGAGGTGCTGCTGCTCTTTGTCCTTTTTTTGCTTGGTTTCTCGCTTTCTGGACCAGCACAAGGAAGCTGATAGTTTTCCCTGCCTCAGCTTTGAAAGTAGTCTTTAGGAACAAATGACATAAGGCAAATCTTTAGTAAATTAGTAGAAAGAGGAGGGCTTTAGGTAATGCTTGTTCTGCTGGGAGTAGTTGATTACAGGCTGCCTTTTGGCTAATTGCAATAGCTCTCCCTCATTTAATGCTGCTTTTGATGTGTACGAGTCCTGGCGTGGTGTTGGCAGACCTGCAGTGCAGTAAGTGCTGACCAGGCCAGGGAGGCTGTAGGCACCAGGAATGGAAAAATCTGTTTCCTGGAGGTGTGTCCTGCTCACAGGTGATGTTTTGGGGGTTAATTTCTGTGCTTTGGTCAGCACCTTCCCTGAGTCCTTCTACAGGCACCACCCTGGGCTTCTTGCTTGCTGCTGCATCCCTTATCCCGGGAGCAGTTGGCTGCCTTGCGCAGGAGGCCTGTTGGAAAACATTTTCTGATTCTGAGGAAATATTGCTGAAAAATGTCACTTGTTCAAGCTTGATCGTGTGAAGTTGCGCAAGACAATACTGAGTTGCCATTTTATGACTGATGGTGGGGGACTTATTTCCCTTCACAGCATCGATAAATGCAGAGTTTAGACCAGTGGGTCTGTGCTTCTCGGCACACTTAATGTGTCCGTGCAGGTTCTTCATTAAAACCTTTTATTTCTCTTTATCTCTGTTAGACTCTATGTTGCTGGTAGCAGAGAGGCTGGAGGGTCCCTTTAACATTGAATCCGTCATGGACCCCATTGATGTGAAGATTTCAGATGCCATCATGAACATGCAGGAGAACAGCATGCAAGTGTCTCAAAAGGTAAATGGGCCAAGAGAAGAGCCTGACTTTGTTTATCCAGTGCATTTCAGTTCCCTGCTGTAGTCAATAATTGTTTTTCTTACATGTCCTTTCAAGCAAGCGTGATGCCCTCGTATTATTTTTGTGGGTGATGGGGTTTGGAATTACTGGTTTGAGTTGCTCCCTGGAGCGAAGAGTTCTTGCAAAGTCCCATTTTGTAAAACCATTTCCCTCGCTCGCGCAGGTTTTCCAGGGATGCGGCCAGCCAAAAACCCTTGCGCAAGGCCGGGCCGCGCGCTCCGTCTCCGAGAGTGGTTTCAGCGCTCGCTTTAGGCCCTACAACCCAGAGGAGCGGCCAACAACAGCTGCTGGCACCAGCTTAGACCGGCTGGTGAGTGCGCGCGGTCCCGTCCCCGCTCACGTGGCCCGTGGCCAGCGCGAGGGGCTCCCTCGTGCCCGCGGCCGACAGACCGTCTGGGTGAAGGTTTCACGTGGATTCGGGAGGGTGGGAGCCCACGGGTCTGTGTAGCACAGTGTGTTTTTTCCATCTGTGATTTATAGGATTTTTTAATATTCCTTGGCTGTCTTAAGCTCTCTGAAGGGTGTAATCTGCCCATGACTCTCTATGTGAATTACCTCAATGCTCATATGTCAGAAAGTGCCTGTTTTAAAGGCTCCAGTTATGAGTAATATGTGTTTGAAGAGTGCTGTTTGATTTTGTATTAAAAAAAGTAAATCAACCATCAAGACTATCCAACTTTACATGCAGCATAAAGATCTGGCCTGGACGTGTCTGTTGTGATAAAAGTGCGTTTCCAGCTTCACTTTTAATGAGTGCTTGGTATGCTGGATTGTGTCCTGTTTTCTATGCTTTCTTTTTTTCTTTTTTTAAATAGGTTACTGATGTGAAAGAAAAGCTGAAGCAAGCCAAAAAATTTTGGTCATCTCTCCCTGGCAACATTTGCAACGATGAAAAGATGTCTGTAGGCACCGTCAATGAGAACGAGTGCTGGAACGGGAGCGCCAAGAGCAGGTTTGGAGAAGTGGGATTAACTCCTTCCCTCCCTGCTCCTGTGTCATGGTCTTTGGCCATGGCTGCCCGACCTCCCCACTTCATGGGACAGGAGTTACCAGCTCCCTCGGGGCTGGGGGCTGCAGGGATCTCTTCTTCCCGCTGGGAGAGCTTGTGAAGCCCAAGGCTTGTCCAAGCTCTGCGTAGTGCTTTGCTTCAGGGCAGGGATTTGAGTCCAGCTGCCCAGAGGGATAACAGCCGCTCGGTCATCACGCCTCTCTGCTGGCCAGAACCTACCGAGCTGCTGCTCGCAGGTCTTGGGAGCAGGGAGCTCCTTCTGGCAAGAGCTGGGCTGTTGGGTTGTCCAAGAGCGCGTTGCCTTGGAGCTCCCCACTCATGTTATGGGACGCTTATTGGGAGCTGCTGTTGGGTTTCTTGATGAGCAAGTGTGAAAGAGATGAAGAGGTTCATGAAAGGTCTGCTCCTCCTTGCTGAGGGCAGGGGCAGAAGGAGGCCGATGGTTTTCATGTGTGCATTTTATGGAAAAAAGAGCTATAAAACTTTTTTTTTTTTTTTTGAAGTAAGAAATTACCAACACATGAATCGACCAAAGGAGTTCTGTCATATGGTTTATGTAACCATTTAGCTTTTATTTTGGAAATAAAAGATTTTTGTTTCTGTTTGGTTACTGATAAAATAAGCAAAAAACAAGATGTTCCATTAAGAAAAAGTATCCAAAGATTTCCCACAGTTTTTCTAAGTAATAACAGTTCCTGCTGTGATATTTTTGAGGTGCAAGGTTGAGACTTTTTTCTTGCACACATTTTATAGTGTTCTGGTGGTGCCTGAAACTATTTTGCTTCACCAAGGGGATGCTTGGAGTCTCTGTCACTTGCAATGGCTCTGCTGTCCTGAGGTCCCCTCCCAGGTTTAGGACCAAGTCTGAGCATGCAAGTTGGGTAGCTAGATTTAACAAAAATGAGAGAGAGGGGGAAAAAAAAAAGGCACATCTCTGCTGTATAACAGGTTTGTGGACTCGGTATGTTTTAGGTAGCTGGTCACAGCTACCGTAGGTTTCTCTGTAACCCCAAAGATGATTTTCCAGCTGTGCCACCTCGCCCATGACGGGCTGCAGGGCTCACCCTGCCGAGCTGCTGCTCCCTCAACAGCAGAAATGCTTTCTCCTTAGGTACGACTTTGCGGTGACGGGGAACGGCCTGGCAAGCCAAGTGAATAACCCAGAGGTGGAAGTTGATATCACCAAGCCAGACATGGTGATTCGCCGGCAAATCATGGCCCTCCGGGTGATGACCAACAAACTGAAGAACGCTTACAGTGGGAACGATGTTGACTTCATTGACATAAGTATGTTTGCTGCTGTTTGTCTTTGCTTTGCTTCTTCTTTTTTCCTCTTAATTGGATTTCATGCTAACACAGGGTATCTGGTTAAGCTTCAGATGTTTGTAAGCGTGTTAGTAAAGAGGTGGTAAATGGCATCTGCCAGGCTCTGTGTGCAGGGTCCTTCCCAGCCCTGCTGTTTTCAGAAGGGTTTAAGACGGCCATGTGTGTAAGTCTTGTGGACTTGAGGCCTGTGTTTAAGTCTCATAAATGTGGAAACAGTGAGTGCTGCAAAGCATCAGCAAGCTTCTTATGTCAAGAATGTCAGGAAGGCATCTGCATGCTTGGGGTTTTTATCTGCTGCCTCCGGTAAGTGCCGTGTTCCGCTGCAGATCATAGAGGAATACAAAATGCATTTGTTTTCCCTAGGTGAGGAAAGCAGCGGAGAAGAGAGTGGAAGTGGCTGTGAACTTCAGCAGTGCTCCCCGGAGTTCGAGTTCAACGCCACCGAAGTCACTGGAAACTCCAACAAGAGCGATAAAAAAGTGAACACTTCTGCCGCCGCCAGCAGCGGTTCGTCACGAGCAGCCCTGTGCTTTAGCATCTTGTTCCTGGCCATGCAAAGACAATGGAGATAATTGTGCAGCTTAGGGGAAAAGACAGACTTTTATTTTCAAAGTTAGAAGGCACCTGCTTTCACTTTTATACCATCTAGGGACTTTGCTTTTTAAGTTAATGGACAACAGTGTACAGTTTTTACTATGTTGCCACTGGTTTTAAGGTATTGATTTTTTTTTCCCTTCCTATTCTGGGAATAACAGGAACAGGGGCTACCAGTCTGTCCCCTTCACCAAGAATCCATGTTAGAGGTGGATAACAAAAATGTATATACAAGCCTGTAGTTAGCTCTGCATTTGTGTCTTTATCACTTTTTTCTTTTTTTAAAAAATTTTTTATTTTACTGTATTTCTTACAAAAAAAAGGCAAAAAACCCTCCCCACAGTCCTTTTGTGGCATGTAACAAGTACGTGTTTCTGAAAAGAGAAATATCTGTACAGAAGCAAGTTTTATTTATCATGTTATCTTATGGGGGGAAAAACTAATTGCCCAACGAGCAGAAAACATGTTTCACATAGTTAACTTCCCATTTATCCGCATTACGTTAGCTGCCTTATCTGGAAAGGAGTGGAAGTAATTTGTCTCTATTATGTGGTAAAACAGAATGTGAAGGCATAATTGGTCTATATGCCATATGCCCCATTTGCATAAAGCGTTAATACCAGGAGCAGCTTTCCCTTTTTTTACAGGATGTTGGGTGAAATTGGAAGAGACTACAGAGAAATGCAGTTTTGCGGGAGCTGAGCAGGGTTGTCCCTTTGTTCCCCTGGATCCTTGCAATTAGCCGCAGCTCCCGTAGGTCAGATCCCGGCGTGCAGCCCCAGGGGGAATAAGGCATTAAACTCGTTCGGTTGGAAGCAACTTGCTGTGTCACAGATCCCAATGCCAACGTGTGTCTTGTCTGCAAATTTGCTAGCTGGATGCTGGAATAATTTTTTATCTTGTAGTGATACCTGGTGGGGCGGGTGGAGGGAGTTGCTGTTGTTTTTACAGGAGTTTTGTATCCTCTCTGGTTGGGAGGCGAAAAGGGAAGGGTCTGGAGACGTGTTGCAGGCAGAGCAGAGCAAGAGCAGGCAGGAGCCGGCAGGGCTGAAATGACCCTGTTTTGGTGCATTTGGTCAGCTGGACACGGAGCCAGCGCAGCCCTTCGGCACCAGCCCTGCATCCTGCTCCACGCTCTCCACTGCTGCTTTCGCGGCTGAAACAGCGTTGTGGTGAATGACAGCTCATGAATAAAAGAAGTGTATATTTTTAAGAGAAGGTATGAAATAATTTTAAAAGGAGCTTAGGAAAAAAAAAAGTCTTCAGAAAGACTCAAAATCATTCTGCACATCTCCTGCCTTAGGTAGCCTTTGTGCCTGGCTGGACACTGGAAGCCGGCCAGGAGAGCAATCCCCAGAGAGAAGGTTTGATATATTCCACCCTTGTGTTGTAAGGATAATTTTCTATTTTTATATTGAAGCATTAATTACTTGTTAGCTCAGGGTCAACGCTTTATTCAACTTTATTTTCACACCAAATTTCTGCAAAACTATAAAGATGGAGTACTCTTGGCTGGCATAAACAATCCTGGAGGCTTAATTTCACTAGAAGTAGCCAGTTATTTATTAAAACATGATGTTAGTAGAGTAGGGATATTCTGGCTAGATTATTTTTCTTTAGGAAATAAATCATGGAAGCATAAAATTGAAAAAGTTATAAATTTATGTGTGGGAAAAAATGGATTGTAAATAGCTAAGTTGCCTTGCGAGGAATTGGAAAATGTGCTGATACTTAGAAACTACCTCAGTTCTGAGGAATTTCCTTTCTAGCTTTCAGTGCTATTACATTTACTTGGTAGAAGTGAATCTGGTCTCCAAAATGTAGCTCAAAGAGTTATCCCTATAGACCTTGTTAGATTGTTTTTAATTTAGAGGGTTGAACTACATCCAGCTGTTTTCTTTCAGCTAAGTTCCCTAACAAAGAGAATTTCTGAATTAAATATTGCTGATGGTTTCCATGACTTTTACTGATTTGTTTGGTTTCATGGCATTTTCTGATTGCCCTTTAATTATTTAAATGGTTCTAGCCATTTGAATTTTAATCCTGGAATAAACAAACCTTAGATGCACTACCATTGTAAATATATCACAGTAAGGTCTGACTGGATAACCCTTCTGGCTCACACCCAGCTGGCAGGCCGGCAAAGTTAAATGAAGAAAAAAAAAATTAAACTTCGGAGCTCGGAGAATGGCGGAACAAAAGCCCTTGTGTTCGGAGCGGCTGACTTTTCCACGATCTCAGTTTTTGGCATAAGTGTTCATATGTAAGAAAGTTGCTTGTAAATTCTCCTGCTTCGGAGCATTCTGCCCAGCGTGTACTTAAAGAAAAACATTTCTGTGTTTATATTTATCGTTTTACAACTAATTGCCTACTAATTATTATTCATTAGTTCGGGGAAAGCGAACAATGCAAAGACCTGACGTGGGTTTTAAGCTTGCCTGGTTGACTTTGTTTGTAGCGGAACAACCCTCCACTCTACAAAGGACAGAGCTGTCACCTGGGGCTACAGGAAACGAGTAAACACCAGTGTAGGATGATCAAAAGTTGTGTTCCTGCTTTTATTTTGCATTTGCGTGTGAAATCGGCTTTCTGACATGAGTTTGTAAAGTAAACTGTAAGCATATGGACTGAGACATGTTGCTGGCCGCTCGCTAGCGGGAATGCGTTTTCTCCGTTCCTTCAGTTTTTTTGTTTTTGTTTTTTTCCATATAACCAATGCCATTATGACCATGTTTTTGTTTTGTTTTTAAATCCATCCATAGAATTAGTGATTAATGAAATTAATAATGAGCTTCAAATGTAAAATGAACCAGAGAGATGGTATTCTTGGCGGCATGTAAGCTGCTCTGTTTTCCCAAAGACTTGGAATAAAAAAATACAGTTCTTGAAAGGATCTGCTTTAATAGATCGATGAATCTCTTGCTGTTCTGGGTCGCAAGCGTGCAGCGTTCTGTTGACATGCACAGCCAAATTGCTCGTGGTTTCTACAGCCTCCATATTTACCCTTCTGGTGATAATGAAGGAAGAAAAAGAGCAAATAATTGAGATTGTTGTAATCAGGCGGTCTCTGGTTTTGCACTGTGCTGGATGGGGTGGCCCGAGGCAGCGCATGGGCCGTCTCTGCTGGTCCTGGCCAGCCCCAGCTGCCCGCAGCCACCGTTACCAGCCTCGCATCCCGGCCCTGTGTCCTCACGGAGAATTGGGAGCATTAGTTGGAAAGGGTGCAACCTCGCAGTACTTTGGTTGTTTCTGAAACCCGACGGTGCTGAATTTCCTTGTTCTTGGATTGTTCTAGCTGGATTTAATGTGCTGCTGCAGGTATGACCTCTGGAATGCCCTTAACTCTTTTCTCATGATAGTGGCTGGTATGAGACCTTTCAGAACAAGGTACATAAAAATTCCTCCACGTATTTGGGTGCTTTTATGCATGTTCCCCAATAACTCATGGCCATGTTTGTCGTCATCATCTTCCACCAAAGATGGAAGGTAAGATCCATCAGGAAATCACATTGGTGAGACTTGGTGCCATGGGGCACTGTCCTGCTGGGATTCATCACTTTGAAGCACCTGTAAAATCTCCAGTTCTTGCCTGGGGAACCTTGAGGATTGCTGAGGTCCTGCCCCTTCCCGTGGGATGGGAACAGCAGACTCTTGCTTTGCTGAAGGCCATTTTCCGTTTGCAGCTTTTGTACTGTCCATCCTATGTCTGGCTGTTCAGATTGACGCAGCACTGCTGAGGGTTTCATTCCCCTCCATTTTTTTTTCTCTCTTTTCTCTCATTTTTTGAGGACTACAATTGGCCACTGTTATGCCGTATTCATTTCTTTTAGTCTAGAGTGTACTGCTTGGTTGGAAACTGGTGGGCATGGTTGTTGCAGAAAACCCATGCGTGGGTAGATCCACCTCTGATTATCAGAAGAAAATAACTTGTGTCATTTTTTTAAATGCTGGTGGTTTTACTTTCCCCTCTAAAGCAGACTGTGACCCTGGGATAACTGCAGAGTGTTGCTACGAGGGCATCCTGAAGTCTGACGTGGTGGCTGGTATTGCCTGTATTGGCCCTGTAGGTGGGTATTGCAGTGTCTGCAGGAATGAAGGGCTGGGAAAGCCCTTTCTTGGTGGTTCTTCTTTTCCTTTGGATGCTAAAAATAGTCGTAACTAATTAAAAAAGAAAAAAGAAAGGACAACACACCCTTGTCTACCTCAAGGCTGCACGTAATCACTGCAGACTGAGAAGCCCCAGGAGCTGCTGTCGTTTCGGGTTGCTGGTGAGGCCACTCTGCGCTTTCTGGAGCTCTCATGGCTCTGCGTTTGCGTTCGCTCCGTGCCAGGCTGCGTTCTTGCCTCGTGTGCCTGGGCTTGACACTGGTGCCTTCCTGTCCCAAACGGGCACCAAGTCCTGCACGGTGTTGCTCTGCCTTCCTCTGTGTTATCTCCTCCAAGTTGTTGTGTTTTAATTGTTTAAGGTAATCAGTATCTGTACTACAGATGGTGTAATACCAGCCTTTTTAGGCCTATAGGAATGCAAGCTAACCCCAGTGATAATTTGGTTTTCTTCTCAGTAATGCTGTTTCAGGCAGTGTTTTTTGTTGTTTCCCCCTTTGCTGTGCCTTGTTTCAGGGTGCAGAGCAGCTGTTGTCTGGGAAGATGCAGCTCCTTTCCCTAAATACTGGGTCACGTGTGCTTAAGTGCACTATAACTCCCATCTAAAGGATTGAGAGTCCCTCTATGACGAGGGAAGCACGGAGAGGCTGGGGAGGAAAGGGAAGGCATTGCGGACACGGTCCATTTGTCCCCCTTCTCCAAAGGGAGCAAAGTCCTGGTTTTTGGCAGTCTTTCGGAGAAGGCAGCTTGGCCAGGAGTGGTGGTGGCCGTGCCGAAGAGCCTTGGGAACACCAGGAACTTCGTGTTCCTGGTAGCAGGAGCAGAGCAGGTCGGTCTCCAACAGCCTCCCCTGCAGCAAGTTCGCGTTCTTCCCCAAGCACTTAAAACCCGCATTGGCCCAACTGCTTAATCTCGCTTTTTGCATGGCCAGCTTGGGGCTTGGAATGGGCCAACAGCTACTGAGAAGATGGAGAGGTCCCGGGTGGCGTCTGGACGGCAGTCTGAGGAGAGTCAAAACACAAACGCTTCTAGTTTCTGGCTAAAAAGCGGCCTTCCCTCGTGCACTGTGGCAACGCAACAGGCTGCTCGTCTCCTCGCAGCGTCCCCTCCTGCTAGGCCTGGTCTAATTGAAGCAGTCTGAGGGAGGCCATGTGCCAGCCCTGCGTGATTTGAGGCCCTGGTTTAGACTAACCCAAGGCCCTGGAGGGGACAGGGGTGTCTCCTCCCAAGCGCCTCCGTCCGCGCCACAAGGGCCGCCCTGTGGCGGGACTGCTCATGGCCCAGCCGTGACACCCAGGCCTGCCTCGAAACCCAGCGCACGAGGAGCTGGCCGAGCTTTTATTTTTCTTGGGTGGGCAGAGCTGGTGATTATTTTTGGAAGAAATTGTTGCGTCTGTTAAGTTTAATGGGCTGAAGTGCTGTTTTGGCATTCGCCAGCCTTGCAAACAGCTCTGCTGAAAACCCCATT